AACCCATTTACAAGAATCTTCCCAGACTGAAGCCCAGTCAGTTCACACCGATGGGATTTCTTAGGGAGGTGCCAATTTCCTCCGCTTATCTCTTCCTCGCTCCTCTGGAGATGAGAGCACATTCTTTACTCCCCTCCCACCATTCCAGTCCATTACAGGTGTACAGAACTGAACGCAATACTCCCAGAGAGGCCTGACTAAGGCAGAGTACAGCAGGATAATTATTTCCCATGATCAGGACTCTCCTCTCCTCTTGATGCTCCTCAAGTTGCTGTGGGCCTTCTTTGCAGACAGAAAGTCCCAGGTTCAACTCTAGGCATCTCCAATTAAATCAAAACGTTATAAGAAATATTTTTTTTGCTGCCAGGAATCCAAAATATGGGGATACAGCTGGACTGCACAACTTTGTTTTGGATGCTCCAAAAAATCGATGGGGCAAGGAGAAACACTGAATTGGATTTGATTGAAATGTCAATAAAATTAAACGCAGCTACTTAAAGAGAAGCTTCCCCAACATTACAGTGCAAGGACAACTTTTGGAGAAATGCTAGGAGCCTCACTCACAGCTCTGGAGGAAAGGTAGGGGGGCTGGCTGCTCATTGCCTGGGGCCCCTTGGAGGGACAACAAGCAATGCTCCTCAAAAGAAGGCTACTTCTGATGCTTCTGACAACTGCATCGAGAGGCAGCCTGAAATCTTACAGGAAGGGAAAATGCTGCGGGCACCCTGTCCTAAGGCCTTGAGATAGGAAGAGGCAAAAAATAGGACACCGGGAAAGATGGCTAATAATTTAGAGGCGAGAGAGAAGATTCAGAAAGATCTGGACAGGGCAGGCTTAAGGCATGGGCTGAAATAGGATGGAATTTAACAGGGAGAAATGTAAAGTTCTGCATCTGGGGAGGAGAAATGAAAAGCATAAGAATTAGATGGGGAGATGTGGCTTGGCAGGTCCTTATCAACTGCAGATTAAACATGAATCAGCAGTGCAATGCAGCTTTTAAAAAGGCAAATTCTATCACAAAATCCAGATCATGGCAAGTAATTTTTTGACTCTGTCCTAGTCAGATCCAACTCGGAATACTGTGTCCATTCTGGGTTCCAGGGTTCAAAAAGGACAGTGACCAATCAGAGCAGGTTTAGAAGAGGGCTACCAAGATGGTGAAGAGTCTGGAAACCAAGTCTATATGGTATGGTTAAAAGGCTTGGGTACATTTAGCCTAGATAGAGCACTCTTCAAATATCTAAAGAATTGTCTCATGGAAGATGTAGTGGATTTATTCTTGTTGCCCCAGAGGGCAGGACCAGAATCAGTGGATTAAAACTACAAAGAAGGAGATTCAGGCCAAACGTCAGGAGGAACTGTTGGCCAGTGGAACAGGCTGCCCCGTGAACCAGGGAGTTCTCCTTCACTAGAGGTCTTGAAACAGAGGAGGGATGGTCGTCTGCCAGAGATACCCCAGGAGATCCTGCACTGAACAGGAGATTGAACAAGATGACTCCCTTCCAACTCTGGGGTTCTGTGAAAATCAGATGGAACTTTACCTCTTTTCAATGGCATGGAGGAACTCTTCAAAGGACCGAAAAGGAGTCCCTTCTCCCCATATCCCCAGCCGACTCATGTAAATCATATTCTTTGGCTCGGAGGCACCTGCCAAAGAAGAAGACACTCCAGTGAGTTTGATTAGAGAAGGAATTGTTCGATGCATGGTTTCAGTGGATCGATCTATCTATCTATCTATCTATCTATCTATCTATCTATCTATCTATCTATCTATCTATCTATCT